GAGGCTTCTTCCTTGCACTGAGGAGGGTCAGGGCATTGGCTTCCCACATCTGGCTGCACACTGGGATCTGTGCTCCGATCTTGCCCTTTAGACACTTAGCAAATATTTAACAGAGAAAGATCGAGCCGTGTCTGAACCGACTTGGCATTTCAAAGGGCAGATATCAGCAGGCACAGCTGCATTTCCAGGCAGCTGGATGCTGCTGAGGAAGCCCCTTTCCCTATCAGTGTGTGGGCATATCCACCTCCTCCATGAGCTGGAGGTAGGGCTCCTTCTGCCACTGTAAGGCCATGTACAGCACTGCTTTGGGGCAGCCACAAGGCTTCTGCCACAGCCTACAGTGCAGACACATGCAGTGGGGAGTGACTGCAGGGAGTGAAGGCTGAATCCACCTTTAGGAAGGGGATGGTTTCAAGACCTGTGTTTTGCACCCTCTGAGTAGATCTCCTGAGGTGCTCCAGGAGCCATATGAAATGAAAGAGTTCCTGCTGCAGAGGGGAGCAGCTACACAGAGGTGGACAGGCTGGGTCACAAGAGGGTGGCTTTGTGTGGACCCACATCCCGGCAAAGAGGAGCAGGGGGTGCTTGGGAGAAAAGCCTGCTGAGAAAGAGACCATTTGTCCCCTGGGGAAACCGAGATAGGGAAGCAAAGGGATGTCCCAAGTCAAATCTCAGGTCCATATCAGAGACCTGCCCGATTCACAGGTCAGCGTTCACCCCTCTGCAGCACACTAGTGTGCACTGACCAACCAAGGCCAAGCACAATGTTTTGGGGATGTTTTCTCACCTGAATCAATCCAGGCCCCACGTCAAACTCACCAGTGGAGTCAGGATGAAAACCAAGACCCTTTTCCCACGAGGAGTCAGCCTGTAGCAGCTCATCTGGAATTTCGTTGTGGCATCCACAACGCCGCCTTCACTTGGACCATCACAGAAGAAAAGCAGTCAAACCAACTCAGTCCACCCTGTCCACAGCAAGAGCTGCACTGTCTTTGCTTGCAAAAGTAAAATCGCAGTGACTTATTGTCATCACACTCCATCCAACACCTTCAGCTCTCAAGCAGGCTGAGTTTGGACAGAAATGTCCTATAATTAAACGGTCTTCTCTCTAAGTTAGTGATAATTATTTTTAAGTCAGTTTTGACTGCATTCTGATTAAAGTCATAAAGAATAAATCCGGACAGTTGTATCTCACATTCATGTGTTTGGAACCAAACACTCTGATGTGCTTTTTCCTAACAGTTTACACACCAGCACGTGCAAATTACACTGCTCTGAAAGTACTTTAAAGGCATTCACAAAATGCTCAGATCACAGTGAAATGGGCTGGTCCCCTCTGCAGAAGTTCTTCCAATTGACTCAGAGGGATGAGTGAATGTTTTCTGGGAACTCTCCAGTTCCTGAGTCATTTCAGCCTGGAGTAGATATTGAAAGCATGAGACTTTCCTAAATTCCAGTCCAACTCCACCAGCACTCACAGAACATCAGCAGCTCTTAAGAGCCTGCCACTACTTAACCTGTACCTTTCCAACAACCAGGAACAGTAGCTGAGAGGTGAGGGTCTATTTCTGTCAACCCTTTTTTGTGTTCCTCAGCCAGGACCATGATTGCTCTCCCTGTATAAACTGCAAGAGAGAGGGGAGAGAAACCTCTCATACCAACCCTCTGACATCAGGGGCTGCTTTGCCTCCTGACCATCTCTACATCATTCCTGCTTTTGTGGGTATTGCACTATTTTCCTTTGGCCTTTCCACAGCCAAGTGGGTTGTATGGATCCTACTTACAACTTCTCCAGCAAGGCAGACACAGCGTCAGTGAAGATACTGCAGAAAGCTGACAGTTCTTCACCAGATGTCCAGGAGCATTCCTGCTTCTTCTGTCATACCTGGTGTCTTGCACAAGTCTGTCCTCACTGTGGGACAGCAGAGACTTCAGTGCCCTGGTGGTGAAGGGATGTCCCTAGCTGCTCCATAGCTGGGCACAATGCTTGCCACAGGAAATTGGGCTTTTCCCTGGTGTAACCATGGGTAAGTAGAGCAGAAAGGGAGGCAGGAAACCTGAGTGCGAAGCAGAACAGCAATACAAACAAAGGAACAAAGCACTAATGAGAGGAGAGAAGAGAGAAGAGAAGAGAGAGAAGAGTAGAGAGAGGAGAGGAGAGGAGAGGAGAGGAGAGGAGAGGAGAGGAGAGGAGAGGAGAGGAGAGGAGAGGAGAGGAGAGGAGAGGAGAGGAGAGGAGAGGAGAGGAGAAGAGAAGAGAAGAGAAGAGAATATGGGAAAACAAAAAGCAAAGCATATTGAGACCGTGGTTGGAGCAGCGAGGATCTGTGCAGCTCGCAGCTGTTCCAGAGTGAAACACATACCAACCCTAGTGCTTGCATTTTTGCGTTTCAAATGTCAAGCTGTTTCTAAACATCTCATTTTAGCTGCTTCAACTACCTCCTCCCTTGAAACTTGTTTAAAACCGATGTCTGGGATCCTGGAGATGTTTGTGTCTAACACTGCTACTTTCTGTTACACCAAAGCTGTGTTTACTTCAGATCTGCAAGAGGCCAACTGACCTGTTCCAACAACTTATGATCTGCTCTTATCAGTTCCTCTAGACGGTTCTATTTGCTCCTAATGATGTGGCTATACAAAGTCTAACCTGCAAACTAAAGAAACCCCCCTGCAGGATAAAGTAAAACCAAATACTAAAGCTGGAGATGTTTGATAACAAATCATTGTCTGATGACTCAGTCTCTCAGCCTTGCTCAGTTACCTATCTACACAAAAGGTAGCTTGAGGAAAACAGGTTTAACTTCTTATTAAAATCAGGAGGAAACATTATCTAAGCAAAGACCACAGCCAGGATATTGTACTGGAGATAAGAGAAACTGATAGAAAGCAAGCCTTTTTGGCCCAAGCAGTGTTTCTATCTAGTAAAACAGACAAAACCTGGACTTCAGTCAGTGTCAGGCAGCTGGAAACTGCAATCAGTGCAGGTTTGCAAGGGCTGCACAGCCTGAGCCAGTAGCTTATGGTGAAGGAGCCACAGAAGGGTTTGAAACACAGCAGCACTGTGCTGATGGGAAGGAGCTGAAGTCTTTTCTCCATCCCTACTAAAGGCCTTTCCCTCCTTGATTTTCAGTGCCTGCTCTCACCAGACAGCTCAGCATCACCCTCACTGCTTTTCCCTCCACACCCGACATCATGGACTACTTGTCCTGAGAAGGACAGAAAAGTGCTTTGCTCTCTGCCAAGCTGAGGCACTTACCTGCTCTTTAAAGCCCTGAACAGATCCTTACACCTGGTCCAAACCTGTGTCTTGTTTCCCCCACACATCATGCAGTTCCTTCTGGACACGTCTCCATCTCATCCTCATCACTGAAGTGAGTGCCAAGAGAGCGTTGCCTGAGCTGCAGACCAAGGCTGAGATCACCCATGCGCTCTGCGTCAGCATCTGCTGGATCATAGTGAGAACTTCCCTTTGGGAGCTAACGCTGCAGGATCCTTAGATCTAATGTCTGCCTGGAGACAGGCAAGGGGAGAGTGGGAGAAACAATAAATCCATTCCAGAGCCACTCACAAAGAGCGCAAGTATGCATGGGGAAATTCCTTTCAGGAATAGGACCCTTTCCCTTCATTCAGTTTTTATATGGAGGGATACCAGAGCAAAGGACACTGTCCTTTCCTTGCAAAACAAGGTCTCTGCATGCTCAGATCTAGCCAGCAGTAACAGTTGAGCAGGTCATCTGCTTAATGATGAGCTCCCACAATGCAGGCGTGGAGAAGGCACAGATCATGGCAAATCTTGATGCCCTGCTTCAAGGTACACCTGCTTATTAAAAGCATTTTGGTCTCCTGCATCACTCTCACCTTCCCTTCCAGCATTTTCCTCCATCTTGAGAGTGAAGGGCAGGCCAAGAAACAGCAGACAATTGCCACAGCGACACTGGAAGCACTAAATAGTGCGAATGGTCAAAGCACAACCACAAAATGCTCAAACTCAGTTTTCCCTCAAGTGTTTATTACAGTCAATAAAAATTCCCCAGCCTCCTTTTCCCATTGCTTAAATGGAACAAACAATAAGGAACAGCAGTGACGACAGACCAGTAGCCATTTTTCACAGCTTAGGCTTAAATAAAACTAAGCTTTCCACTACTCACTGCAGAATTAAACTGCAGAACCCACCACCACTGGATGGTGCAGAGATCAAGAGGGTAAATGAGTTCAGCAAGGGGCCCAGCAAGCTCACAGAGAGCTTTCTTGGCAGTTATTAAAGCTGATGGGCTGACTGCAAGCCTTTGCTGAAACATCTCTTTTTGGCAGAGATCAATGGCACAACCAGAAGGGGAATTCTGCACTTACCAGGTTATACTCTGCCATGGACATCTGCTCCTGCCCACTGTTGGAAGTAAAATACTGGGGTAAATAGCTCTTTGGTCTCTTATCATGAACTACAGTTATATATACTTATATATACTATATAACATATATACTTATATATAACTATATATAGTTATATATACTATATATAGCATATATAGGATACTAGATAAATATAGTGTATATAACTAGTATATATACACTACTTATATATACACACACCCTAATAGTATGCATAATACATACACTTTATGTAGTTATATATATATATTACTACATTTTTATAATATATAATATGAATATAATGGGTTTATAATATAGTAGTTATATATACTAGTTATGTATGCAACTAGTATGTATACAAATATATACATACTATAACATATAGTATATATGCTATGCATGCTACACTATATGCGCTATATATAGTAGATAGCATATTATATACTATATGCTATAGTGTATATGCAGTTAAATATACTGAGTATATATAACTACATAGATGCACACTATATATAGTTACACTGTGGTGTAATTATGTATCTGGACTCCTCTGATCCGGCATTAACTCTCATTCTTTTGGTTTTTAACTAAATGTAACCCTAACAAATTAAGAACAGTTTGTGCAAAGATGAGATTTTTGCTGACTATTTTTAAACAGCATTTATTGCAGCTTCTTGAAACAGTGGTTCAGAGTCTGCAGGTCTCTGTCTGCTTTGTGGTTATTGGTTCCTAGAAATTACACATTTCTCTTCATGCTGTGGGCAAGCGTCTCCACCTCCTTCATGAAGCGAAGGCACAGCTCTTCCTGCCATGGCAGAGCCACGCACTGAACAGCCACTGGCAGCCCCACAGCTCCTTCCACAGCCTGCAAAACATAAGCGTGGTGCCGAGTCAGAACACTCAGGGAAGCGCAAGAAAGAATGTTGTCTTATGACATTAGAGCACCTCCCGTATGAAGACAGGCTGAGGAAGTTGGGGCTGTTCAGCCTGGAGAAGAGAAGGCTGCGTGGAGACCTCATAGCAGCCTTCCAGTATCTGAAGGGGGCCTATAGGGATGCTGGGGAGGGACTCTTCATTAGGGACTGTAGTGATAGGACAAGGGGTAACGGGTTAAAAGTTAAACAGGGGAAGTTTAGATTGGATATAAGGAGGAAATTCTTTCCTGTTAGGGTGGTGAGGCACTGGAATGGGTTGCCCAAACAAGTGGTGAGTGTTCCATCCCTGACAGTGTTCAAGGCCGTGCCTTGGGTGACATGATCTAGTGTATGGTATCCTTGTCCATGGCAGGGTGTTGGAACTAGATGACATTAAGGTCCTTTGCAACCCAAACCATTCTGTGATTCTATGACATTATAGGAAGAGAAGACAAAGGAAAACGTGCACAGGGCAGTGTCAGGCCGAAGTACACCAGCCTGCCTGCACTGCGTGCAGGGTAGTAACATGGTGTATACAAACTGCGTGACTAAGCAAGCTCCCACTGTCATCAGATGTAGATAAGCCAGAGGTGTCACTGTGCCAGTGATAGCCTTCAGCTAACACTTAGCTCTTTCCTCACTGACCTCTTTCAGCCTCTTATCCCAAGGGTCTCCGTAGTGCCCTCGGTAATGCTTCAGTTCTTCTTCATCAGCTCTTGTGACTGTGCTGACCGGCACCACCCCAGCAGGGAAGTCTAAGACGTTGTATAAATTGGTATAGGAGGTCGCAGCTGGAAAAGGTCACACAAAGAATGGAGAAAGGCAAAACTGAGTGTGCTGGGCCAGCAGTGACGGTCAGATGATAATCTGGGTTGCACAAATTGCAGACTGCAGTTGCTGGATGTGAAGAGACCATGAAAACATGCTGCTTTCAAAGGGACTTTTGATGGAGAGGTTTGAACCACAGGCTCACATGGCTGCTGAGAACAGAGAGAGACCTATCCCTTACCTATCAGTCAGCTGGAGGTTAGATCTGCTCTGAGAGAGGCAGATAGGAGTACTTGATCGGATTCACAGTCTGTGTCTATGTCTCACGTATCCCAGGGAAAAATCCCAGCTACTTTTTCATGATAATCCAGATGCCCAGTTCTGTAACACCATCCTGGGGATTTAGGATCCCAAAGGGCCATTGCTAGGGGGATGGAGGACCCCAGCTGTTTGCTGGAAGCTATAAAACTACTGCCTTTTTCTGAAAGTCACAGGCAATGAGCTTTTCTGCTGCTTGCAGAGTCTTTGGTAATGCAAGATGGGCACATTCAGAAGAGCTTGGCCTTCTACTAAGGTCTACCACCCCTCTGACAACTCTCCTCACAGCCGCCTTCTGCTGCAAGAATAGCTCTTGGGCTTTCTACATGCAGAGAAAACTCACCCATGAATGGCTGGGACAGATGTGCCACTAATTGCTGCCCCATAATAATCCAAACACCTGATGGAGTTGGGTGCATGAGAAGACCCACTCTGGGGAGACCTTCCCCAGAGGGAAGACCAAGCACCACACATGGGGAATGTCCAAGAGACTGGAATATCTTGCTCCATCTCTGCCCACAAACACCACCATGGATGCATCCAGAGGCACCTCAATGGAGATTACCAAAGAGCTTCCCAGCATAGCCATGGTTAAAGGCTGGCCCCAGTGCAGGACAAAGAATCACATCCAGCCTCAGCTTCCTCCATTTGACAATGAATTCAGTGCGGTAAGCCTAGGAGGAAAGACAGAGATGACAAACAATATCTGTTGGATAGCAGTGGCAGATCAATGTCCTATGGCATGAAACAGGGAGGACAAAAACCTTCCTGGATACAACTGAAATGTAAAATAAAATCTGGAACGTGCTTTAAAAGAGCCAATGGATTTTGTTCTTCCATCCTTAGGTTTCCTGTTAGAATACCGTGTGCTGCCCTGAACTAGATATTAACGCTAGGTGGGCATTTCAGAGTTGGTTTATTCAAGTATTAATCCAGTCCTTCATATGAACAGTTTAGTCTTTGAATGTCATTGAATGGAGATCAACAATAGTTTGAAGAATTATGTCTAGCTGACTAAACAGTCAGGTTTCCTAAAAGCTTTGTTATTTTGGTAGGAGAACCTAGAAGATGTGAATTCAAAGTATTTTCACAAAACCTTTCATGCTGGATCAGGATACAGGTAAGTAAAAGCAGCAGCAAGAGACAGCAAGGCAAGCCTAAGCTCTTCCCCCTGCAGTGCAGGAAGCACAGCTTCAGACTTGGACTACAGATCGAAGAGATATCTAGCTTTGTAGTCTGGGTAACCACAGCTTTGCTGAACATCAGGCAATGAATGAATCCATCCCCAAAGAGCTGATCCACTTTGTCTTAGTAAGTAGACACAGATGGACCACAGCATGGCTGCTTCTGCAGCCGTATTCTGGTTACAGGGATGCATTTGTCCTGTGGTCCAGTCCCTGTTCTGCACAACTCCACATTTTCCGTACGAGGGTCTTCCATATCTCTCAGAGAGCTCCAGCCACGAGGCTGTTTTAGTCTGACCTCAGTTTCCATCTGCAGACTGACATCCTTCCTGCTGACAGGGGAACAAAGGAGATAGAGAGGTTTCCAGGAAACGCTCTCAACGCAGCTAACCTGATGGTTTTGTTCTGAGAGAAAAGCTGTTTGCTAGCCAAAAGTTTTGAATCAGCTTTTAGTTGCAGAGGAAAAAATGTGAATATGAGTTCACTGAAGAAAACAATTCAAAGTATCTCTGAGGCCAACAAGCCTTTTAAAGAGTTTTCTTTTCGGTTAGATTTGGAGGGGGTTTGTTTGCTTGTTTGCTTTTTGTGGTTGGTTTTTTTGTATGTGTGGTTTGGTTGGGGGAGAGGAATCAGTTTTCACCTAAAAAACCCCAAACCCATTTCCTTCCAAACACTCACATCTGCACAGTGACCAGGCAGGTTTTTCCTCTACCCTATAATGTCAGACCTGCTGCAAGTAAGCAGCATGTCCATTGAGTGACTGGCACTGATGGAGGCTGCGTGGTGCAGGATGCAGGCATGATTCTTCTCAGGGAGGGCTGAGAGGGTGCCCCAGGGAACACAGATCCTGCCTTATGGGAGGGAACCAAAACAGCTCGGCTTTGTCAGCCTTGCAAAACACCAGCTGAAAGGGCATACAACTGCTCTCTATAAATAGATCAAGGGCAAGTGAGGCAGTGGAAAATACCAGAGAGGAGAAGTTCTGTTTAAGCACAAGGACAGGAATAAAACGTGGATACACTGGAAGTGAATAAACAGCACAGGAAATATGAAGGTTTCCAACCATCAGAGAAGAGAGGAGCCAGACAATAAAAAATAACAAAGCAAGCATAAGCAATCAGAAAACTCAACTGGTTTTAAAGAGGAACCTGCACAGTGTGTGGGCAGCACTGGACTCAGTTGTCCAGGAGAACACTTCCTGTCCTATGTTCCTGATCCCAAATGAGATCATATGGGATCCACCTAAGCCAAAGAGTTCACAGCCACAGTTTCTGACTGCCAGGGTCTCTGCTGGATAGCTCAAGCATGGTCTTAGCTTCTGACAATAGCACCTGATGTCTGAAATGAAGGATTTACACCAAGAGACAGAAAAAACGAAGACTCATCTTTAGTGGCTGTACTTACATTTTTCCTGCTTAGAAAATGCAGGGCAAAGGATAATCTTTCTTCCCCATCCTCCACTAACAGAGACCTCCCTTGAGCTCTTAGCACTTCTTGCAAAGCTTGACTTTCAAAGAGCCTAGCTGCTTTATTTCCACCTGATCCATTTCCAACCCAGGATTCATCACAGAGTGCAAAGCAATTGCTTAGGAACTTCAGGGATCCCTCACTATATTTAGTAAGGAAAAAGGAAAAAAAATACCAAATTGACATTACCTCCACTGCTCCATGCTGATCCCAGAGGTTTTTGGCAGACCTGGAAAGGTGACAGAATTAATCAGCTTTGGGACTGTGGCAGCAGAACACGCTTAACAGCATGCAGTCAGCCCACTGTTATGGAAACTGTGCGAGCCTTCTGGGAACAAGGTAAAGTGTCACCCAGATGATTCCACTGGGCTCACACGTGCTTACAGATACAGCGAAAGAGCTTATGTTAAATCATGCCACCGGTCTTGGGGCTTTAGCACTTCGAAAAAGATCATGGCAGCTCTTCCAAATTCACTTTGGAAGTGAAAAACTCCCATTTTGATGTGTCTCTGTCTCTTTTGGAAGGGCAGGTACTTCACACCATGATGCACTTGCATGCAGAGACCTCTGTTCAACCTGGCGCGTGATGCTCTGGTACCAGAATCCACCTGATGGGGAAAGTAGCCTGTATCTCTCTGTGCTGATCTCCATAGCCCTGCCATGATGAGGATCCTTGAGCTCTTAAAATAATCCCCGATGGCATAACACTGTGCTAAGCTCAAGTGGTGCTGAGGCAACACACATTCATCTGGCTCAGCCTGTGCTGCACAGCCCTGTGACGGGGCTTTGTGCACAGCCATGTACCTGCACAAACCAGTGCATGCACTGTGTGTCCCCTTTCTCTAGAGCTACTTCAGCATGTCTTACCCCACTCCACAGAGAGCACTGAGATCCCCAGCGATTCTTGGGTACTTTCAGAGGGAAGAAAAAAAACTTGGGATTAGTCAACAACACCGCAGCTGAAATAGCTGGCTACCATGGGATTGCACTTTGGGCACACTTCTTGTCCCAGCAGAAGTGGCTCTGAAGAACAGGTATGGTTTTTAGTGAAGGGGTTTTACTCCCACATTAATTTATACATTTAATCGCAACAACCCACACCAATAAGGCTCTATGCCACACCGCTAGCCTTGGAGAGCATCTTCAAGGATGCTGTTTCAATACTTGCTAGTGATACCCATTCTCTTGGAGCCCAACCTTTATGTGGTTCATGAAATGGATCATATTTTGATATCCCCACACAAAAGTCCCACAGAAGTCTGTCAGACCCACTTTGTAAGTTCAGCCTGGGTTTAGGGACTAAGTGTATTCAAGTGTATTTCACTATGAAGCCCATCAGGGACTTAACATGAAGCAGCAAAGCACTCCCAGAGAGGAGCAGTCTATCTGCCTGCGTGCAGAAAATTCCCCACCTTGCAGATTTCCTGCAGCACAGACGAGACTCCTCCACACACTTACTATGGGTTTCAGAAGGATAGCGAAGATCCTTTTCACCAGAGCAGGAAGCCTGTAAGTATTGAACTGGAATCTCAGGGTGGGATCCACAATGTCTCCTTTGCTGGAAGGGCAGAGAGTGAAGAAGTCAGGACAAGCCTTCCATGCCAGAGCTACAGCAACAATAGTGCTGTTTCCAAAGCAGGGTTTGTCTCAGAGGGGAGTTGGTAGAAGACAAAACCTACCTGTTTTAATCTAAAACACTGAACAAAAGATGCTGATGTAGGGTTTAGATTCTCAGGTATGAATGCTCACTGCAAAGGCTGTCAGTGCCATAAAGGCTCTGGAGAGCTTTGCAGTGATGGGACCACATAAAACCCTGGGCATGTTTCACCTGAAGTGAGGGAGTGGCAGGGTGGGTATTTTGGTCCGTAGCCAGTGCAACTCATGGCACCTCCATAGCAAGTTTCATAATGTGTGATGTTTCCCATGTCCCAGGGATTAATCACACACAAAACCAGCTGCCACAGCACTGCTGACATGTGTTAGATTATCACCCTACCCCATTGTCTGTGCTTGCCAACTGCTCTTGTAATGTAGCTGCTGCTCATGCTGAATTCATCCTTTCAGATATTGCTCCCTGGCTGCTCATTACTCAGTTTTCACCCACAAGAACATAAACCACTGGCTATCAAGTTCCAGGTCTCCTGGCCCACACTGAAATGGGGTTTTTACTCACAAGCAGTCCATCAGGTGAGCACCACCATCCGAGAAAATCCCTCTGGTGAACAGCTCATCTACCATGTAGTCGATCTTGGGTGGTACAAAGGGAACAAGCTGCAACAAAACCATCCCCATTCAAGAAGCAACGATGACCGATGATTCAGAGCCCTCTGTCAACAGCCCGGCCTCACTAGTGAGGTAAGGGGGAAGCAATGGGAAGCTTAGGCCCTCCTTGCTGCTGTATTTCAGACCCCATTTTCAAGGGGACCTGGCTTAGCAGCATCTGCCCACTGTCCTTTCCCGTTTCCAAAGCATTAACACATACTGTGACGTCCCATCAGCTCCCTTCCTCCAATCCTTAAAGAAGCATTTCTAGAGGCTTCAAAACACCAAGTACTTTTAATATGCATCATTGGAACAGCTCCCATATAGAAATCCTCACTGGTGGAACCACAGGGTAATTTAGGATAGAGGAGGTCCCTGGAGGGTCAGCTATTCCAACCCCCTTCCCACTTACCCACCAAGACATCTGTAAACTGCATTTAGTGGCTGATGGATCATGCAAACTGCTGTGAGTTTGATATTTATGGAAACACTAAATACGATGAAATAAAAGCAGTGCTTTAGAAAAGGAATGACTTAGATATAGGAAGGTGATTCTCTTGTCTGCTAGGCAAGGAATATAAGCAAGGTCGCTTTGGTTTGAGAAGCAAGCTGTTGCATTTGCCTTCCTCTTCATGATCCTTGCAGCAGAAAGGGATGGTCCCTGATTTATGGGCAGCAAAAGCAGAATTGGGAAGTGACTTGTCCTAACTTTATGAGGAGCAGGATAACAGCTCCAGGCAACTGCAGGCATGAAAACCCACCGTATGCCCTGCATCCTGGAGGAGCTTTCTTGTCTCCTGAATAGCTCGTTTCATGCTGGGTGAGGGTTGGAAGTAGCCATCTCCTTCATAGTATCCAATCCGAAGTGGCTTTGAACTGGTGTAAACCTGTGAGAAGAAAAGCCATCACTTGCACCCATGGGACATACGAGATTGGACCATTCCCAGGGGTTACGGAAGCAGCAGCTGAGGTGTCCCGAATTGGAGGAATGATGGGAGCAGTAGGGCTGGTGGAAAGCAGTGCTGTCCAGTTCATAGATCTGTAGCAGTGGTCCTTGGTATGGCCTTTCTGACACCACCTCCTGCCCTGTGAACATGTCCCAGCTTCGAGATAGCAGGTATGATAGCACCTGTACAGACCACACGCCTGGGATGCCTGGCATGGACAGAGGTCAGGGGCCTCTTCTTCTAGGGTAAGAGACTGGTCTGTATTGTCTGGGTGTCAGGGAGAACTAAAAGGTCCTAGAATCCTGGGACCTAAGCCAGAAAGACATGATCAGATGGCAGAAGCAGAGAGCTAATGGCAAAGGTCAGTGACTTCAATCATGCTCTCTAATTAAAGGTGTGAGAAGTGAATTTCTCTCATCAGTAGAAATCAGCTCCTTTAGGGACTGGTCCAGGATGGAGCCAACAAGCTTGTTTTGGACATTGCTGGGATGGGAAGGGGTCAGTATCTGGCAGGTCTCATCAGTACAAGCCAACCCTGCTCTGTGGCTGCTCATGCTGTGTGTCCTCTGCTCAAAAGGACATTTGCTTCCCTGGGTCCTTCACTATCTTGAAACACGAAAACAGACAGGAATCTCCCAAGATCTTACTTCTGTTGTTGGGAAAATAGAGACATGGGATTGCCTCTGGGCCTTACCTCCTCATTGAAGGGGATGGGGGGCACAGTGGGGTCCAGCCGGAACATCTCATCACAGAGCAGCGCCTTCATGCAGAGGGCCAGGCTGTCCACATCCCTCGCCATTGGCCCCAGCGCTGGCACTACTGCAAGCAAAAAGGTCCTATCACTGCAGGAAGAGGTGCTGCCTCATAGTTACTGGTAGGGGTCCAGCATGGAAGAGTTTAGGTCAGGCTGGGGAAGAGGAATGGGAACCAGTGTAATGGGGAAGAGGAATGGGAACCAGTGTAATGGGGAAGAAGAGAGCGCTGAGTGACTGGCCATGAGACACATAATTGAGCAAGCACATCTGCTGGCATTTCAGCAGTAATAGGAGATGTAAAAAGCAAAGGTTCGATGGTAATAAGATGTCATCTGCACGGACTTACCTGATCCCATTCCTCCTATAGGAGAAACAACACCCAGTTTGCTAGGAACATAATGGGAGAAGCAGATTAGCTTCTTACTGTAAAGCAGGCCACCATGCTGAGGCGCAGACTTCCCATTTGGGAAGTGTTGGGACGTACCTGATCCTGTTGCCTGTGGGTTTGAGCCCACACAGCCCACAGAAGCTGGACGGCAGGCGGATGCTACCAGCTACATCTGACCCAATGCCCAGGATAGAGCCTCCCCCTGCAATCAGGGCTCCCTCCCCTCCTGAGGACCCCCCGGGGCTCTTCTGGTGGTTGAGAGGGTTCAGTGTCTGGCCAAAGACGAGGTTGCTGCAATCATAGCTGGGGAGAAGATGAGGAGCAGGTCAGTGAGGTAATTCTGTCTCTGCAAACCATAAATACAGGTCACAGAGCATCTGTGCGGGGATGAGTGTGGAATTAAGCCCAGCAGGTAGCACCAGCATGCAGAAGATATGTTGGGACGGTTGAGTTTAAGAAAAAAGAGGTATCAAATGCAAGAGAAATAATTTGAGACTGAAATGAACTCAACACGCATGATTAGCTCAGACTGATTAGACTTAGCCTGTGCACACGGGCCCACCCTCTGAGATAGCAGGGGTCACCTATCATAGTGTTTTCATGAAGGCAAACAGCAATTACTTCATCATTGTCTGTGGGACGTTGGTTCTCACGAAGGGGATTGCCCCCTGGTACTTTAGAACCTGGACGATGACGCTGTCTTCTTCCTTTACTTGGCCCAGGAACTTCACCATCCCTCCAGAGGAGATGTGGCCCTTGGGGATGAGAAGCAAAGCTCTTTAAGTATGGAGAGATGCTGTTTGGCTCTGTGACAATAACAGACACAAGCCCTGATGCCTCCCATGTCAAAGTTCCCACCTAACTTTTCTCACAAGCAGAACAGCATTCGAGTAGCCCAGGGAAAACCAGATCAGAGCAAGTGAGAAATTTCTGCATAAAACAAAACTTCCATCAGAAGAAAGGCAGGTTTGCTGGTCCCACGATATTTGGTCCAGAACATTCTTATCTGAGGGAACTCTTAGCCAGTCCTGATGAGGATGAGACATCCTGGCCTGTTCCCACCCCTAGGCCAAGAGGCATGGGAATTAGAGATGTACCTTGCAGTCAATGTGCTCCTTGATGCTGACGGGAATGCCATAGAGCAGCCCCTTCTCCTTCTGATTCTTCAGTTTCTGGAGTTGATCTTCACAGCCATGAATGAAGTCTGTCACACAGTTCACCTCCCGAGTCACCTCCAAAGCCTCTCCAGAACAGAGAAGAGCATTGACATAGATGAAGGGATGAAAGGAAGGAAGGAAACAATATTTAAATTGAGTTTTCCAATTGAAAGTTCAACCTCCTCAAGTCTCAATTATTCAGATCTTACTTACAAACTTCAGATATTTCTCGCTGCAGTAATTGTCCAGATTTCTGTCATGCACATGTACCCATAAACCACCCTTCAGACATCACATTATTGACAAACTGTAACCTTTAGCATTGCTGGTTCTCTCAGCAAATGAGCTGAGCTTTGATTTGAAAGCCCCCACTGCAGAAGAGCCCTGTAGCATCTCTCCCGTGCTGGAGGTACCACTCACTTTGCCCATATAGGTGTAGAGGATGCTTTCTGGGGACAGGGAACCATCCTTCAGTTTCTCCACCAGCTCCACCATTGTCAATGAAAGGATTTGCGCAGTCTGGGTGCTTGGATTCTGCAAAGGGCAGGAAGTCGGGTGCAGGGGGAAGAAACCAACAGAAGAGGCTGTTGTTGAGGCTGCAAATACCCAACTCTAATACGTGCCCAGCAATGACCTTGAATGGGAATTTAGGAGGCATTTCCTGTAGAAATGCAGGGGTCCCACATAGTGCTCTGTGTATTGGAGTGAGGAATGTGCTGATGGGGAATCTGTTGAGTCTTAGTTCATAAGAACAGAACCAAATAGGCAGAAAATGGGTGCTTGACTGGAGAGCTGCATGAACACGTAGGAGAGGTTTGAACTATCTGTGTTTACTCACAGATATGAGTGTGTGCTGAAGAGCAGTTCAACCAGCCAAAGTTTTACAAAATTTATCATAAATATGGGGGGAAAAAAAGTGTTGGGTTGTTTGCAACCTCCCCTCCCCAAGAAAAGAATGGCTGTAGGCTTTTATTATAGGTTCAAGACAAATCCCATGTCCAAGGACCTGACCTCCTAAAATCCAGGTACTTCTTTACCCAAGCATGGGCAGGAGGGAATGGCTTTTGGTTACCCATGTGCAGATGCTGGAGAGATGTGAAGCCCACCCCTGCTTGTACTTTGAGGATCCTGGGGCAGACAGGTCCCTATGAAAGGGCAGAGATAAGGAGGATGGCAGAGGAAAGGCTTAGCAGCTGGGATGGATGAGGAGAAAAGGGCATGGGGAGTTCTGGGGATCCCAAAGTCCCGTCTTTCATCCTCAGGATTCCCTTAAGAGGTCTCTACTAAGAAATGCTTCCTTTATGCTGTCTTTATAGGAGGTCTTTCTGTGGCAATGGAGGGTGGTGAACCTCCAGAGAATTTGTGATGACGTAAAAAGTGCACATGCCCTAAGCCCCACTCAAAGAGGGATCATATCAGCACTCCATTTCTTTAGTTATCCCAAATACAATCCCTTCCTCCCACACACACTTTCCCCCAAGGTACCTCTTGCTTAAACCCGTGAGCTGCCTTCTCCATTCGCTCCAGGGCCAGATTCCGTGCCCTCCTCGCCTCCTTCATCTTCTGCTGGATCTGCCTACGTTCCATCCACTTCAGCAGCACAACAACCGCTACTGAGCTGCACAGCAGAGCAGAGAGGGTGCGAGGGTCTCCCCATGATGCATCCAGGACCTGCCACAGTCGCTCTTGGGTCATGGTTCCTCTCCCAGTCCTTCCCGTTCCAGACCAGCTACAGACGCTTGGGTCTCCTGCCTTCTCCTAAGGAGGGCTGATGAATGCACACTGCGCAATCTGGCTATGCAAGATCAGTTCTGAAGCAGAGCTGCACTATCAAAGTCCATGTTAACATTAAAGTCTAGGAGTGGACGTTTTACACCACAGACTTTAAAGGGGCTGGCAGCTGGAGAAGCGCTGTGTTTCAGGCTGTAAAGCAGTGTGTTCAGCTCACACTGGGTTAGGGCGTGTTGCGGTCTAAGCCCAGAGGGCAACCCAGAACCAGGCAGCTGCTTGCTCACTCCCCTCCCTTCCTCCCCCAGCTCCCAGAGGGATGGGGAGGAGAATCAAAAGAACGTAACTCCTACAGGTTGAGATATGAACAGCCCAGTAACTAAGGTATAACACAAATCACTGCTGCTGCCACCAATAATAATGATGATAAAGGAAATAACAAGGGAAGAGAATACAACCGCTCACCACCCGCCGACCGATACCCAGCCCGACTGAGCCCTTCTGGGTAACTCCCCCAGTTTATATAGTGGGCATGATGTGCTGTGGTATGGAATACCTCTTTGTCCTGTCTCTGCTTCCTCCCGGCTTCCCCTCCCCCCTGGCAGAGCATGAGACTCAGAAAGTCCTTGGTCAGACTAAACATTACTGAGCAGCAACTAAAAACATCGGTGTTATCAGCACTGTTCCCAGGCCAAAAACACAGCACTGCACTGGCTACTAAGGAGAAAAATGGCTGCTACTGCTGAACCAGGACAGGGGGGTATCCCGCAAGGCTGTGTTTCTTCAAGCCACTGCTGCTGCTGTACCTGGCTACACACAGGAGGCAGCTGGTAAACAAGCTAGGTTTGGGCTACCCCTACTACACCCATGTTTAATAATTAAGTAGCACTTAAGTGCATTAACTAGGGGTGCTCTGCCATCATCTCTGTCCCTTAGGCAGCAGCATGTGCAGCCTTTTGAGCCTGGGACTACATAGCTCTACTTGTCATGGGGAACCTGGTGCAGGGAGTGAAACTTCACCTATTGAAGAGCAAGGAGCTCAGAAGAAGAAAGAGCATGAAGGTACAAGCAGGACACTGACTCTGGAAAGGCAGTGTGGAAGGAGCTATCAAAAGATGCCTTCAAAGAGTATGACTGCTGTGTCATTTCCAAACCAAACCCATTGAAATGCCTTTGGGGGGGAGAGGGGGAAGCATTTCTGGAGAAGCCCCTCTGATGGACCCAGCATCCTATCTGCTCTCCAGTTTCTAATCCATGCTCCAGCCGCAGAAAGCAAAGGAGCTGGACCACACAGCCTTGGATGCATGGAACTGTCCCATGGCTTAGTGGAGAAAGCAGAGGCTGAAGAAATTAAGCTTCCCTCACGACTCAAGGGTTGGCAAGCCCCCAAGGAATGAAGTGGGGATGTCTCAAAGATCATTGCCAAGATGCAAGGCAACACTGCTGTATCTGGAGCAATGCCGGCTCTGCTCCAGGCACTACATTTAGCAGAGTTTGTAAAGAGGCTTCATCCAGGGTAATAATCATTGGTGTCTGGTGCAATTTTGTCTGGGGACCAGAATCCAGTGACCATCAGGCTATCGTGTTACCTTGCCTGTTACAGACATGTCCTGTGGGATCATTCCTGTGGCATCAGGGAGGGGAGCTTGGGGAAGAAGCAAGACCTTGTACAGAAACTGAGTGCTTACTGGAAAGGCAAGGAGGATCCTCCCAGAGACAAGAACAGCCAAACAACTCAACGTGGATGTCACCCACTGTGGGGGATGTGGCCTTCATTGCCCCATCCCTGCCCTTCACACCAGCTTCCCCCTGGGAGCAGCTAGCAGCCGATCCCTATTGGCAACCTCAATCCCCAAAGCCACACAGCACCTTTGGCCCTGCCCAGTGCATTGTGCCATGGCTGGCTGGAGGTGTTCACTCAGGGCTTCCAGCGTGTTTGTTGGTTCAGTTCCACTGGTATCTCCATTGTTTTGACTCCTGCACCCTGCCCACCTCAGTGCCAGGGGCAGAGCGGTTAAACTAAAGAGAGCGATGCAGTGCTTGGCTCTCCAGGAGCATGGGTGAAGGTGGCATTGACTCTGATGGGACAAGCCCCTCCAGGCTTAAGTTTTAAATTGCAAACTGACAAACCCCATCCAGCATTTTCTGTGTGGGCAAGGAGCACCTGCAGCTGGTTCAAACCTCACCCAAGCTCTTCTGGGGCTTGGCTTTACATAGCATTCAGTCCTGGGATGCCTGGAACTCACTCCCTCCTCCTTTCAAAGTCTGCTAATGAAGAATGAGGGTCCTAGGGGCTGCTTTCCCCTAGGCTGGGATAAATCTTTCTGCCAAGCTTTGGGAAGACCCCATCCTTCTGCATGCCTTTGCTTTAAACAATAATAATACATTAAAAACCCCAAACAGAAATCCTGCCAGAGGCTTGTTATAATCCACTTGTGACACTGCTGCACTGGAAAACACTCTTTTGCCTTGTGGTATCCCTTCCCAGAGCACCCTTGGAAGCCTGCCTGGAGCAGCCGGTGCTGCCAATCCTGGTGGCAGTGGCTGCCAGTAGCTGGAATCCTCACTGGAAAAACTGGCGTGGCCCCACTGCCAAATGGGAAGAGAGGGTGTGCAGGACACGCTGCGCAGCTGGCCATCCGACCCGGCACACTGCCTTAGACATGCAGTACCGCGAGCTGAAGCGCTTCACGCCTCTCTGCTGTGGGGAAAGTGGCAGGAGGTGCCTGAAGGAGATGGGAGTTCACGATCACTTCAGATCTCCCCTCCATGGCATGCAGGGTGCCAGCAGCCCTGCACCGTGGGAAGTGGGCCGGCTCCCTCCCTGCTTGCCAGAGCCTGCACACAGGCTGAGCTTTGACCTCGTATTGCTGGTCTGGCAGCAGGGAAAACACCGGATTTTGTCCTCTGGGAGCTGAGAACAGAGGGGGAAATCCCTTTTCCTACAGCATTCTAAGCAGGAGTGTGAACATCTCGGACAAAACCAGTCCCTGTGCCTCAGTTTCTCCGTTTGTAAGAGAAAGATCCTGTTCTTGTACTACCCTGGGAGGCGTTGAGAGGGTTATTACAATCCACTCCCATCCCTCCCCACACACAGAGACCTGGAATAACAGACTTTCCGATTACAAAATCCACTGTATTGGACAATGACAGTAAGTGCTCCACCCATCACCATGGAGTCCCCATCCCTTTTCCCCTTGCATCCCAAAGCCAGCAGCCAGCCCAGCCATCACTGCATCCTCACGGAGGGGAACACAAGTCCTGCGGCAAGTCAGACCAAGGGAGGTCCTGCACTGTTAGCTGGGATCCTGCTCCGGGTGAGCATGCAGGACTCAGATGAAACTGTTGTTCTTCAGGACGAGCGTCTCCACCTCCTTCATGAACCGGAGGCACAGCTCCTCCTGCCACGGCAAGGCCACGCACTGCACGGACACAGGTAGCCCCACGCTGCCGCGAAAAGCCTGTGGCACAAACAGAAGGGGAAGAGGGCGGGGGGATGTCCAGGGGAATGGATGAGGATGCTCGTACCCCAGGAGAACCTGGCACCACTCACCTTTGCCATGGTGCGGTCCCACCAGTCCCGAAAGTACCCCTGGTAGCCCTTCAGCTCCTCCTCATCCTCATCTGTCACCATTGTGACAGGGACCACACCAGCAGGGAAGTCCAAGGCATTGTAGAGCATGGTGTAGCTGACTGCCACTGCGGGAAACAGGGAGCTTGTAGTGCCAGCCTGCTGCAGGGAACCCCTTCATCGCATATACAAGCTTCCAGCTAACAAGGTAGGATCCAGGACTATAGGATGGAAACCTTCCCCTTAGCTCCCAAATGCACCGGGAGGTTGTCCTGGGTGTACCCCATAGGTTTGGGTTATAGATGCTGCAAGAGCTGAGCTCTTCCCACCACTGGCCAGTGCCTTCGGATGTGATGGGAGGAGGAGAAATGCTTTTCATTGATACTGAATGCCATTGTAGGGGCACGCTGGATGCACAACCCCCCATTGGCCATCCTACCTGAGAGCTTTGGAGGGTAGCCAATGCCAAGAGCTGGGCCCAGCATAGGACAAAGCATGACATCCAGGTTCAGCTTCTTCCACTGGGTGGTGAACTGCTGGCTGAACTCCTGAGGAGGAACACATTGGTGGTCAGTGGGGTGAATGTACTGTCCCATGGTCCCTGGGCACCCAGCCGGGCTCTCAGCCCTTCCCCAGGAGCAGCCATAAGGCCTGATCCTGTTAAAACCCAGCCACCTTTTGCTGCCTGGCCAACAGGTCTCCCAGCATACAAAGCACCCTCCCCACTGCTAAAGCTGCAGGTGGGGAAAGACTGAGTGTAGGGCACATGGTGATGTAGGACATGGGCATGGGTCTTGAGGAAACCAGAACGGAAATAAAGGCAAGTCTGCTGCAGCTGATGGCCTAAGTTTTTAAGTATAGGGCTAACAAATTCAGGTCTGATTCAGGATCATGAATGTGTCCATGTGTCACCCTAATCTTTAAACGTGCTGAGGACTTGCACACCCAAGTGAGATCTGTTGAGGAGTGACCTATATTCCTACTCACATCACCAGTGACTTATCTCCTAACCTTGGTGGGTACTGGATCTGCCTCTTTCCAAAGAGAAATAAAACCAAAACTAACCCCAAATTGCAATACTTTACCTCAATTTCACGATGAAGACTCCAGACTTGATCCACTGTGCTGAAAAAGATAAACAAAAGCAATGAAAAGCATCAAGAAGTGCTGCAAAGACCAGCTTCAGGGGCAGGGAAGAGCATCAAAAAGCAGATGGGCACAGGCTAGCTGTGTTCATGGAGCTGCAGCCAAGGCAACAGAGGACTTTGACGAAGTCCTGGCTTTCCTCTGCCAGGTTTCCTTTTGGTTTGGTCAGACAAGTGCCAATAACTGCCCAACACTGAAGCAAGGAAGAGCCAGCCACCCTCCCTTTCTATTTACCTTCTTTTCATCTTACAGCATCCCTCCCTCCTGGCATGACAGATGCATTAACCAGTGCTGAAGCTGACACTGTATTCATTTATCACAGGCTGCATTCATTTCCTAAGCAGGAGGCTGTGAGCCTCCACCCTCATTCTCATCCTCAGTACTAGAGCAGTTTGCCAAACCCT